GATAAGAATCCTTGATGATGTTAGTGGTATCATAAAGCAGGAAAGTAGGGTTTGGAAGTCTTATAAAAGTCACGTCCTTACACCAATATTTCTTTAAATGACACAGTTCAATATTTTTTTTGTATGTTGCTTTCTTCTTGTTGATACCTCTATTCCATTAAACTAAGAAATTTGTGTTACAGAAAATTTCTCTCTTAATTTAGTGTCTTTGGAATCAAGTTGATCTATGACAAACAACTTTCTTTCTCTTTTTTGTCCTGTTTCAAGGGAAGAGATTGCCACTTTGGAGAATTTTGCTCTCAGGTGCTTGACTCATTCATTAATGAAGCAAGATACCGAGCCTGGTTAGGTTAAGAAAAAGGGTAGGTTAAGCTAGAAGAGAAGAAGAGAATAAGAGAATATAACAATGAAGAAACAGAGAGAATAGGGAGAATAGTTTGGAGAAAATATCTTATTCAATATGATCTTCCTTACAGGCCTATCAGTACTACCAGAAGTAATTAACTGTCCTTGATACCAAAGGCTGGCATCCGAGCCATTGTCCACTACATTCCCTAATATTCTAACAGCTGTATTGACAGAAAACAACAGAAAAAGCAATCCTTTATTCTATTCTTCTTAGGACAATGTTTCAAACACTAACATCTTCCCTTTCTTGCAGAGAACCTTGTTCTCAAGGTTTAACTATGGATACTGTCCCTTCAGGAATAGCTAAACCTCTCAGGTTGTTTCGGTAGGCCCCCATGTTCAGCTAGGTTACAAGAATTTGGTCCATTGGTTTGCCCCGACGATGAATAGTTCTCTTCTGCAGAATAACTTTGGATTCCACCAGAATTTGGCCTTGAGTATCAGTGATAGGTAGGATGCTAGTGTGCTGAGAAGAATTCCCTTCATATTTCTTCGACATTGACATGTAGAACATAGAGTTTATAGTCACTTTTGGTGGCAGGATTAGCTTGTAAGCACTTCATAAATTGTTAATAGAATTTTGAAACGATTTCCAAACACTTCATAATGCCAAGGCGGACAGGCAATAGAGCTGTAATTTCAGCCAGACCCAGTCTCCTTCCTGGGACTCCCTCTCCATTCTTCTAGCATCAGCAAACTGCTTCATCTTGCTTTGAGAGACCAGGATCTGCTCGCTCAATAACCGATTAATCTCGCGTCTCTCCTTCATCCATGTTTCCAAATTAGCCACAGAGGTTGTTGAATCCTTCTGCTCCATTAACAGAGGTGGCAGATAGTCGTGTGCGCTACAAATAGAAGCATGTGAATGCTGGAGTGGTAGGTATTGTTGTATCACCACTCAACCTGACCAAACCACTTTGCAAAGGATGTAGTTTGCCAGATGTCATATACCTCAAGTAGTTTTGTGGGTATTGGTTGATTTTCTCTGTCCACTTATCCAATTGTGGACGATAGGCAGCACAAGGTGCAACTCAGTGCCCCTGAGTCTTGTAAGTTCCTTCATAAACAAGTTGGTGAACATCTTGTCGCAGATTGAGATAATTGATCTAGGTATCCCGTGTAGTTTATATATGTTGTCAAGAAAAATCTGGGCAACTTTCTAGGTTGTGAAGGGATGAGATAAGGGCTAGGAAATGGCCGTACTTGGTGAACTGATTAACCACCACCAAAACCGTGTCTTTGCCTGCTGAACTTGATAATTGTTCGATGAAGTCCATTGTGACATGTGCTAATGCTTGGTTTAGAGCAGTCGAAGGTTGAACCAATCCTGGATAAAGCAATTGTTCCCTTTTGCATTTCTCGCAGGTGTCACATTGTTATCTATTTGCTTACCTGTTGCTTCATTTTCTGTAAAGAATCCCTTCTTCAGTCGGTTGTAAGTGCCATTTGACCCCTTAAAGGACTCGTGGTTAGCTTGTAACAATTTCCTTCGTAGCTCTCCTTTTCTTCCTACATACAATCTGCCATTCTACCTTAACAAGCCCTGCTCATAGGAATGAGGTGGCTTTTTCTCCCAGTCTACTGCCAGCTTTATGAGGAGCTTACTTGCTTCTTCATCTTCTTCATAAGAATTCTAGATTTCTTGCACCCACAAGGGAACAATAGTGGCAGTGATATTGCTTCGTTCTGCTTCCTCATTCATTTCCTGTTGACAATGCGTCCGCTACGAAGTTATCTCGTCCTTTTTGTACTGAATCACATAATTCCACCCCATCAACTTCATAATCCCCTTCTTTTGAATGAGATCTTGTACCTTTTTGCTCCAATAGGTGATGGATGCCTTGTTCATCGGTTCTTTTTTAAAAAAAAAAAATAAAAAAGAGATATCATTCCAGAGGTACCAAGGGAGTACCGCTTAAGATTCACCTATTATAGCCCAATCAAATGATCTAAAACCATCTCCAAATCCTCAAGGGCCTGTATATCATGTCCCAAAAAATAAAGAACCAAAAAGATGAAATCATCTATCGTTGATTATGTTAAAATCATTTTCTATCCCCTCAAAAGCTCTTGAATTTCTCACTTTCCATACAACTCACATTAGAGATAATGTAATCAACATTAAATATTTTTTCTTCTCACACAACCCACATCAGTTCTGTTCATCGGTTCTTATTGTAAAGGGGCACCTTCTAAATATCGGCTCCATTTTATGGCTGCCATAAGAATCACCAAAAGCTCTTCTTGTATGTGGAGAGGAACTGGTGTGTTATTCTCAAGGCATTACTGAAAAAGGCCACCAACTTCTCTTGCGCCGACTACCCTTACCACTCACATTGGTCTCTAGAACAAGGGTTGAGAGGAATTCGGCTGGACGAGAGCATGGAGCGTGGTCATAGCTTCTTTTGGTCTTTCGGAGGCTTCTTGTGCCTGCATATTCTAGTTGAAGGAATTCTTCCCTAAAAGCTCGGTCAGAGGCTGACTCGAACTCTCATAATTCTGTATGAATTTACAATAATATCCCATGAGTTCTAGAAACCCTCTCAATGCAGTACTGTTGGTGGGTCTTGGTCAGGATACCATTACCTCGACCTAGCTCGAATCTGTTTGCATTCCTGCCCATGAAATCAGGTGCCTGAGTACTGTACTTGCTTCTTTCGGAAATAAAACTTGACTTTTCTTGCACAGAGTTGATGTTGTCTTAGAATCTCAAATATAGCCTCCAAATATGTTAAATTTTCCTCTTTGTTATGACTATTTATGAGGATGTCATTAAAAAAAGAAAGAAAAAAAAAAAACTAACACAAATCTTCTTAGATGAGCATTAAAGGTAGTTTTCATAAGTAATTGAAATGTGGCAAGGACAATAATAAGGTCAAAAGGTATTACCTTAAATTCGAAAAGGTCATGTTATGTTACGAAATTTGTCTTGTGGATGTTCTCAGGTTTCACTCAGATTTAATGATAGCCTACTCCCAGGTCCACCTTAGAAAAGGGTGCAGCCTCTTCTTGTTCAAGTAATAAGCCGTCAACTAAAAGGATAGAGAACTTCTCTTTGGTGGTAATTGCATTCAGCTGTCGGTAATCTGCACAGAACCTCCAGCTTCCGTCATCCTTCTTGACCGATAACACTGGTGAGGTGAAAGAACTGTGACTGTGTTGGATTAGGGAACTGTTAAGCATCTCTCTTAATTGTTTCTTGATCTCGACCTTCTGAAAATACGGATATTTGTGGGGCTATATGTTTACCGATGAGTCTTTGGGCAGCATTGGAATAGAACGATTTTGTTCCTTTTGGGTTGGCAAGGAGCTTGGTTCCTTGAATATGTGCTGGTACATCTCAACCAAAGCTCGCTTGGCCTCTGGCTCAAGTGTTGAGCTGATGTGTCCTTCCTGATTTCATCCTTCCCTTTCAAGCAGTCCAGGTTGCTCACCAGATGGCCAATTCCTTCCTATTCTTTCATTAAGATGCGGTTAAGTTTTTTTTTTCAAACAAGAGTACGAGAACACCCTTACTATTTACCTTGGGCCAGCATTCTTTTCTTATCTTTCATAAATGGTAATTGCATATTGATGAAGTCTAGAGTCATGGGATTATGATTCCTCATCTAGTCAATTCCGAGGATGATATCATAATGCCCCAACTCCTGCACTTGAAACGAGAAACTTAGCAATAGCTTGTTCATTCTCCATTTAAGCTCATAGGTTTTGTACTTCTAATTATTTTGTGGTCCTTAGCCATGAGAGTCTTCAAGGTAGAGGAACTGAAGACTGTATGTTGCAACACCTAACCATATTTGCTTCCATGAAGGTGTGGATGCTCCCATGGTCCACCAAAGCGAGTATAAGTTTCGAGCCAACCATACCGAAGATCTTAACTGTATTTCTCTTCTCTTAGTCTTCATTAGGATAGAATGATATTTCCCTTGTATTCTCCTCATCTTCTGCTTACAGCTGCACCTCTTTATCCTCCATTTGTTCCTTTTCTCCTTTCACGATCTCCAACATCATCAGTTGCTTCCTCTTGCAACCGTAGCCCGGAAAGTAATAATCTCGCACCTGTTACCAGTGTTAAAAGGCCTTCGTTATCTCCTGTGGCTTGTTCTTGGGGAGCATTTTGAATTGCCGTGCGTCCTGGCCCCAGGTTCTTACTGTTGTTGAGTGTGAGCTTTGATTTTTAAGGCTAGGGGAATTAATAACTTGACATAAAGTTCCTGGGTTTTTGGCGCTTTACCATAGCATCAATATGTTGTGGCTTAATTGAGCCTGCTCATAAGCCATATTGAGCCTTTCTGGCCTTAGAGCTCTACCGTTGGCAACAGCTCCTCGCTCAGCCCACTGATGAAGTTCGATATGAAATATGCTTCACTAAGGTGGAGCCTTCTTGTCAGAGTTTGTTAAACTACTCTACTACGTCAGCGTCTTGTCCCTAAAGTATATTCGTAGTCCCTCCTCAA